CTAGTTTTATTCAAAAATAATAGGAACTCTAGTTCATCTAAAGTTCCTTTCTTTATAGATTCCTTTATTCCTTAATGAAAATATAATTTATCTAGATTTTATGATTCTATTCTATAGGCTTTTTATCTATCTTATGAATAATCATATTTGAAACATATATTATAATATATTATTATATTCAGATTCAGATTCAAATTCAGATTTAGAGTTTGATATTTATATCGATATTTGAATTCGAAATCAGTTCAGATTCTATTTCATATTTTAGTTCAGAATTCACTTCTCAAATCTCTAAATTCTGAATAGCTTCAAAATTTATATTTAAATTGAATATATAATAATTGTTAAAATAGAGCATTGAATTATAAATAATATGTAATAGCTATATAGCATAAGTGAATGTGGAGGCTATTTAGAGCTCATAGACTCTGAAAGAGCCGTAACAAAGCTTGTATCATATATAATAGTATAGATAAGGGGGTGGGAAAGAGATTCTTGATTTTTGAGACCTATTTCAAGTTTGATTATTCAATTCCTTTGGAATATTCAATTCATTTGGAGTATTCAATCCATTTGGAACATTCGCTTAAAGTATTCAGTTTATTTCAATTATTCAATCAATTTGAATTCAATTCATTTAAACTTATTCAGTTCATTTGGAAAATCGAAATTAATAGTCGGCTCTTTATAGAGCAGTTGTCTGATTCCCAATCAGAGAAAGCAATTGTTCTGCACAAGCAATTATCCCCTTCTAATTCAAGTTAATAAAATACAAAAATTTTAAATTATTCCTAATATTTATCTTAGCATTATAATCTAATAATATTTTCTAATAAATTTACATTATTCGAAAGAAGATAATTGTTTGTAAAGAACGATTGCTTTCTCTAATTGGGAATCAGACAGTGGCTTTATAAAGAGCCGACTATGATTCGAGATATTAATCCATTTGAAATACTCAATTCATTTGGAAGATTAAACTGTATTCCCACATTCACAACATTTCCAATACCGTATTAACTGAATAGGAAGGTATTATCTTATAATAGAAAAGTTTATATTTTGATAAGAAAAAACCATACGCTAATAAAGAGTTAATACCTTATAATCCAGACCGTGGCTAATCATAATTAATATTACATTTTCAATTATTTTAATCTTATTTATATATTTGTATTAGATTTTATTATTAGAATAGAATACAAAATATAATCCACAATAGAATACTAAGAATATTCAACTAATTCTTTTCAAAAAAAGCTCTAAATTTTGAATATAATTTCACCGTGACCATTATATCATTATTATATTATAGAGATTTAAAAAGTTTTTTGATAATATAGAACTATACATTGTTATCCAATTAAATAAACAAATAAATATTACTGTTCTAACCAGTTAATACAGTATTGAAAACCTCCATATCTAACCTATTGATCTAGACCAGATCATTGGACACTCTGCACTGAGACTACAACACCTCAACATTCCATACGAACTGAGCCTACAGTCTCAACATTCTAACTATCCAGATCTGAATGAGACCCCTACAAAGACAAATCCAAGATTCAGAATTACTAGCTGGCAAGAACCATCCCATAAATCAACTACCCCACTTTTCGGCCACCCCCCCTTTTCGGCCACCCTCAAAACCCACACCGCCTCAGCAACCTACCTTCTTAAATATTTTCTAATTAAATAACCATTCAATCAATTGATCTCAAATTTTGATTTACTATTATTTATATAATGTCGAAACTCTATATTAAAGACGATATTGCTGTAGCTTTAAATATTATCGTGAATGGTGTTTTAATACAAAAAGCTACTTTGGAATATGGGATTCCTTGTATTACACTTTAAAATTATATCAATAATTATATATCCTATCAAAAAGGTTCCGAAATAATACAAAAGATTACTCCGATTCAGGAGAGACATTTAATGGAATAGATATTAGTATAAAAGAACTTGGGTATTAATCCTATTCATTAGCAAATTCAAGAAATTATTGAACATCTTTTTAATATAAAAGAATTCGATTCTATTCTTGAAAAACAATGGGTATACAATTTTTGGAAAGGAATCTAGAGATTAGAATCAAGAGACAATATAGAATCGATTCTACCTGAG